TAACATTGAGAAGAATGGGAATTCTTGATTGTACTCATGGGAACCTGTACCTTAACCAGGAGGCTGTCGTTCGAACGGAACAAGGGGACACTACATGGTTTAAAATCAGGAAGGGAGTGTGTCAGGGTTGTATCCTTTCCCCACACTTATTCAATCTATATGCTAAGCAAATACTCCGAGAAGCTGGACTATATGAAGAAAAACGTGGCATCAGGATTGGAGGAAGAATCATTAACAACCTGAGATACGCAGATGATACAACTTAGCTTGCTGAGATTTTGAAGAATTGGCATTCATTCATATTTAGTCATTTGCTGAAATTCACTAGTGGCCTCCTTCTCTCTGAGTAACACCCTGTGATGAGAGCGGCATCCTCTGGTTTTTTCAGCTTGCTTTTCCGAGCATTGATCCATGACCCTACATGCAAGCTGAGCTGAGGGCAATCAGTGCCCAGTATTCCCAGCCTGCCATGCCTAGGGTAGACCATTTGTTTGCCCAACTAGTAGGAGCTAGGTGGAGTTAGAAAGCCCTAGACTTCTCAGCTTCTCTTGCCTAGAATAGAGCCTCTGAAACAGGAAGCTGGGAAGATAAAGAGTGCTGGCGGCCTGTACCTCCCAGAGAGATACTGCATATGGGAGCTGGTGGGAAGGGAGCCCTGTCCTAACCATCCACTAGGAGTAGCATTTCCACTGCAGCTGAGAGTTGGTGGGAGAGAGAGTGATGCAGCTCAAATGCCACAGACTCTCACTGTTCTTACTGAGATTTAGTAGATGTTCTAGAATGTTTCTTCATTTGCTATATGCTTTTAGGACAATTTTCAGATACCAAAATTTTTTAAAAAATAATTTTCATCAATCATGCTTGTTTTCTTGAGGAGAATGGGGGTCCACAGAGCTTCCCACATCGCCACTCTGAAGTCATTCTTTCCCTCTGAGCTGTTTTTAGGCATCTCAGGAATCTCATGGAGAATATTTTGACCCATTGATAATTATGTCCTTCCTCATGTTCTAGATTTTGGAAAGGGTTTAAAATATAGAGAGAAACCATGTCTTTCCAAGAAGATTATTCCTGGTATATCAATTCCAGAACCTAGCTGCTTACAGTATCAGTTTCTTTGGAATTAAGAATCTGATTTAAAGAAAAAGGACAGAAAAGACCTGCTCTGCAGAAGGAACTTTTCTGCTGACTAGTTTTAATGTTTTGAGGGTACAAACCTTTTTCATGGAAAGACTGCTAAAAGAACTAACAAATCTGTCCTGGAAGGAGTGCAACCGGAATGCTCCTTGGAAGTGAGAATGGCCAGACTTTGTCACACCTACTTTGGTCATGTTCTCAGAAGGGACCATCCTCTGGAGAAGGATACCATGTTTGGTAAAGTGGAGGATCAACAAAAAAGGCGAAGACCCTCAACAAGATGGATTGACACAGTGGCTGCAACGATGGGCTCAGGTATAGCAAGGATTGTGAGGCAAGCACAGGGCTGGGCAGTGTTTCATTCTGTTGTACATAAGGTCACCATGAATCAGAGATGACTCAATGGCACCTAAAAACAACAACATAGCAGTATACAAGGAGCTCTGGTGGTGTGATGGTTAAAGCATTTGGGTGCTCACCAGAAGTTTGGTGGTTCAAACCCAGCAGCCAATCTGTGGGAGAAAGATTAGGCAGTCTGCTTCTGTAAAGATTTATAGCCTTGGAAATTCAGTGGGAGTAGCTATGATGACAGTGAGCTTGGTTTTGGTTTATGGAAACACACAGAGCCCAGTTTTTCTCTTAGCCAATCACACTGTGTGTTGGTGCTCCCTGTGGGAGGGTTTGGCCTAGAAAAGTCTGAGTGGCTGGTGTATGCATTGCCTCAGTAGGAATAAAAGCCTCCATGGCCAGATGCTCTGTGAGACCCTTTTTGTTAGGGAGTCCTGAGTCGCTATACAGTCACCTGCCTCCAAAGCTCTCCCGTTGTATTGCTTGCTTTTGAGCCCTGGACCTCTAGCTCATGGCATTCTAATGACTAATGCTGACCTTTATTC